CATCAGCTCACCTGGATTGGCTCTGTTTGTGAGTTTCAATGCTTCAGTTTCTGCCAGGAAGAGGAGCTTGAGGCCCAAGCAGTGATTTTCCCACTTCTCACTCTGCTGGGCTATAGATTAGCCATAACTCAGTTTTGGAGTTCTGGTGCTGATTTCTTCCCATGATCCTTCAGGTCAAGAGTCAGCAAGTCCCTCTACTTTGCCTCTACTCCATTACTTCATGGGAGGCCAGCTGAGTCCTGACAAGATCTCTGAGATAAGCCTCATTCTGTGCACAGGCATCAATGGTCAGTGCTGTGGAGTAATCCTCTTGTACACCATAAAGATTCATCAACTTGGTTTAATAAAGTGCTGATTGGCCAGTAGCCAGACAGGAAGTATAGGTGTGGTGACTGAACTAAGGATGATGGGAAGGAGAAGGCAGAGTCAGGGTCACCAGCCAGATGCAGAGGGAGCAGGAGATCTACGTGCCATGCTGATAAAGGTACCACCATGTCACAAAACATAAATAGGAATATAGATTAATTTAAATATAAGAGTTAGTTAGTAGCAAGCCTCAGCTACTGAATGAACATTTATAACTAATATAAGCCACTGTGTGGTAATGTGGAAAATGGCTGCTGGGTATTTGGCAACTGGTGGGCGGGAGGACACGTCCCGATTACAAGCCAGTTTTGACAAATGGAAGCATGCAGCTTAGAGAAATGGCGCAGAACTCCTGCTATGAGGGGCACTTCTGGGAACACTCTCCATGTGCTACACTGGTTTGGTAAGTCATGCTGGTGAGCCTGTCTGCCAAAGAACTCTCCCCTCCTGGATCTTGGGAGGATTAGAACATTGCTTTCTTTGGGGGAGCCGTCCATGCCCCCCTTTCCTGCCAACGTCTCCACATTAACAAATGAAAGAGAAGTCCCTCCAGTGCCCCAGCCCCATCTCTTCTCCTGAGGGCATTTTTCTTGAGCAATTTTGATCACACAGTAGGCCATACATTAAGCAAACCAAGAGATCAGTTGGCCTGAGGACATTTAGAAGTAACCGGTGGTATGATCATCTTCCTAACAGTCACCCATGCAGTCAGGGCCCTCCAGTGGCAGGCCTGCCAGCGTTGTGCATCTGTGTTTCCCATGGCAACATGCAAAGCTGATGACAATGGTGATAAAGAGACAACCAAGCCAACACAATTGACTTCTGCCACCACCATTGCTCTTGGCTCTGTGGGGAAGAATTTGGGCTTCTTTGCCAGGGTGTATAACGAAGTTTGGCATGTGGAGAGTCTCTGGTTGGGGTGTGGTGGTTTGAGTGAGAACGGCCCCCAGCTGCTGAGCTGAGGGTTCTGTGGGTCTCCTCGGGGACACTGTGGCTGGGCTGTGTGCTGAGTGAAAGATGGGGGAATGAACACAACCCAAAGATGTCCTTGTTCCTGCAGGGTAGTCCGTTTGGTCTACTTTGTCATGAAATCTTGTCTGGACCTCATCTGGAAGCCAGAAACATCGCATATACGTACTCAAAGACAGTCACCATCATGCTGGGGTTTGAGGGTTTCCTTTTTCTTAATTTTATTTTTTCATCTTTCTCTTATCCCTCTTTCTTTGATAACTGAAAATAGACTCTTCTCTCATACAATAATCCCCACCGCAGTTTCCCCTTCATCTACTCCTTCCTGCTCCCTCCTACTTCCCTCTCCCCTGGATCCCCTTCCCCTCTATTTCCTTTTCAGAAAAGAGCAGACCTCCGGAGACAACAGTCAAACAAGACAAAAGACGATACAATAAGAGACGATAAAGATTGAGGCTGGTCAGGGCAGAATCCAGTAGGAGGAAAAGGGTCTTATGAACAGGCAAAAGAGTCAGAGAAACTCTTGTTCCCACTGCTAGATTTGGAGATTTTTTTTTTAAAGGGGATCCACTCCTTCTCCATGTGAATCCCTCCCAGGATCTACCATCATTACAGGCTTTAAACATTTTTTCAGGGCCCAGACAATTTGTTCTGTCTTTGAAGTGCCAAGGTCTGCCTCGGTTTATACTTAACCCACCTCCACCTTCTGCAGCTCACCCCATAGCCTGTGTGGCCACAAGACAAGTCTTTCCAGATGCTTCCTTCTACACCTCACTTCCGCAGTGCCAACAGTGGTCCTTCTGAGAGGACAGAGAGTGCATGGCCTGATGGCTTGTCACTGGGTCCTGTGTCCCAGTGCTGGTGTACTAGGGAATAAGTTTCCAATACATGCTTTAGAGGGCACTAGATAAATTGTGTGTGTGTGTGTGTGTGTGTGTGTGTGTGTGAGAGAGAGAGAGAGACAGAGAGAGACAGAGAGAGAGACAGAGAGAGAGAGACAGAGAGAGACAGAGAGAGAGACAGAGAGAGAGAGACAGAGAGAGAAAGAGAAAGAGAGAGAGACAGAGAGAGAAAGAGAAAGAGAGAGAGACAGACAGACAGAGAGAGACAGAGAGAAAGAGAGACAGAGACAGAGACAGAGAGACAGACAGAGAGAGACAGAGAGAGAGACAGAGAGAGAAAGAGAGAGAGAAAGAGAGAGAGAGAGAGAGAGAGAGAGAGAGAGAGAACTGTCTGTATGGGTGTGGGGAATAGCCATATCTAACCCATTGGAGGCCTGTTTAGATAAATACTGACTCTTCCCCAGGGAAGAAAGAAATATCCCTGCCTATTGGCCTTCGCGGTGGGACCCCAGCTCTGCCCTTTTCTACGGCAGTGGCCTGATTCAGTCTTCCCACTCGAACTGCCTTCTCAGCTCTTCAGATTTTGAACTCACCAGCCTCCGTAACTGCAGACGTCAATTCCTTCTACTAAATGTCTTTAATTTGGTATCTGTATTGATGTCCATATCAATATCTGTATCTCTTAGTAGTTCTAATTTTCTAGAGAATATAGCCCATACATTAGGGCTAAATGAAATCACACATGTATAAAAACAGACACAATGAAAAGCAGCGGAGACTAAACTTTCCTTTAAGTTCTTGGAACCAGCAGTAACTCAGTGGGGTTGTCCTTACCTTGCAGAGTCCAGGCACCCAGGTTCCCATGGGTGGCTGTGTGGGTGCCCCCTCACCCCCCATCATGGTTTCTGGGACTTTCTCTGAGGGTAGCTCCCTATCCTATTCTCCTCTGTCACCTCCTTACTATTAGGCTTCTGGGCTTGTGCCTTCAGCAACTGGGTATGAATGGAGGCCTCTAATTCAGCATCATTAGGCAGCATGTGGTTGCCAGCATGCTCGCCAACACTCCACTGCAGTACTTGTTAGCACAATGTAGGACCCAGCCATGACAAGCTCAATAGAGACTCGAGGCACAGTAGTATACCCTAAGGCAATACCTGGTTCCAAGAAAGATCACAAACTGAGGCCACCCAGAAAGAGGAATCCAAAGGGAATTCCTAAAGTTCCAACCATTGTATTTGTGCTTATAAAATGTTTTATACTGTTATTAATTGTATTTAAAATAAGAGGTTAAAAATGAGTATCACAGCCATAAGCGTCAAATGCTAACCAGAAACTGGGATGCTCATTTCTCATAATGCAGCAAGACAATGGCCAAAGCAGTCTGGCAAAGGGCTCAGAACAGTTTCTCAGCCCACGGAGTCTAGACCCTTTGGGAGTTAAAAAGACAAAACCCCAGAAACTTTATATAGGGGTAGCCCAAGACCACCTGCATGTCAGATGCTTGCATTAAGATTTATAACAATGACAAAACTGCAGTTGTACAATAACAACAAAAAAATTTGTAATGGGGGTCACCACAACATAGAGAACTATATTAAAAGGTCAACACAATTAAAAAGTTGAGGACCAGTGGCTTAGAAAGTGTCTCTCCTTACTCAAGGCCTATTCAGGCTTAAAAATGTATGTTTAGCCTCCTTATCTTTGCTAACTTTGCTAAGTTTAAGATATTTGGATAAACTGAGTCATATAAATGTCTTATATTTCACTAAAAAGAGCTTCAATTCAAAATCGTTATTTTTAAAGTTAAACCTGACAGAAATATAATAGAAAGTTCTAGTCTTACAAAAGCTGCTAACTTGTTATAAAATGTTAAGAAACACAAGTTAATAGCTATCCTTATTAATGATCAAGTCTGTTCATTGTAGCCATGCTAAGTACTACTGATATGATTAATTACAGGGATAAACCTTCCTTAAAAGTTAAACTTAAACAAGTAACTAGAAACAAAGTTGTCTATTCAGATATACCTGGGCAGCCTTCAAATACTCCAGAGATCTGGAGAATATGGCATTTAAAATGTTGATTAAAAATCTTATTGTATCAGACAGAGATTCCTCGATCCTAACAGTGACCCAAGGTCTCTAAAGAAGATTATGGATCACCACAATGTCTCCACCTGGATTATGATGACACTGACCACTGGGCAAGATGCCCCAATGCAGCATCTACTGCCAGGACCTGGCCCAGATTGTGGACAAGCAGCAGGTTACTGGAGAATTGGTTGTACCACTTTTGCCTAGATAAAATAAGGTTGTTCTTTTCCTTGTCCCTCTTCCACAGGAAAACAAAAACAAAACAAAACAAAACAAAAAACAAAAAAACCCCAAAACCAAAATAAAAAAATCTCTCACTTTTTGAGCCTGGCAACGACTGCTGTTCTGATATTTCTGCCTTCAATACTATGGAGATATGGGTATTGCTAACTGGATATGGATTGGTACCTGTCATTTTTAATAGGTTTGGAAGCTATTTAGTCTACATTCAGGTATAATTTATCCTTCTCGGATCTCTGGTAATATTGTTGGCTGAGCTGGAGATAGCTTCGTCAGCTTAGCAGCAGGCAATCGGGTTCTTCCCCCAAGGCTATCGCCAGCTTGTGAGCTTATTTTATATATAACAGTCAAGCCTCAATATGGGTCTGAAAAAAGTCTGGGGATGTAAAAGCTTCTAAGCTCTAAGGGTCTCAAAAGTGATTTGAGATATAAATACAAGTTATGAAAATATAAATACATAATTTAAAATATGAAAAGTTTTCAGATTGTTTCCCCTTCTATGGTATAAAAGTTCGGAGTTCAGCATTTAATAGATCTCTAACAAGCTGGCAGAGCAATGACTACTTACTGCTCAGTCACAGCTCAAGATTTTGGATTTATTTTGGTTTCCGTCTAAATATAAAGGTACTTCTCTTCAGGCCGAAGTTATCTCTGTCCAATCTATACCTGGCTCTCAGGAGGGAAGAAAAATGTGTACATGCTTCTAACCCAAGTCTGCAGTTTCTGCTAGGACTCAAATGTGTCCACTCCTAATATTTTACAGATACCCATTGCCTGTTTTTTTTTCAGTATAAATTGGTGATATTGATATATCTAAAACATTTATGTCTGCTGTAAAATAAAAACTCATATAGGCCCTCTTTCGGGACTGGGCTCCAAGATGACCAAAAAAAGGAGAAACAACGGTCGTGCCAAAAAGGGCCGCGGCCATGTGCAGCCAATTCGCTGCACTAACTGTGCCCGCTGCGTGCCCAAGGTCATTAAGAAGTTCGTCATTCGGAACATCGTAGAGGCCGCCGCCGTCAGGGACATATCGGAAGCAAGTGTCTTCGACGCTTATGTGCTCCCCAAACTCTATGTCAAGCTGCGTTACTGCGTGAGCTGTGCTATTCAGAGCAAGGTAGTCGGGAATCGATCTCGGGAAGCTCGGAAGGACCGAACGCCCCCACCACGACTTAGACCTGCTGGTGCTGCCCCACGACCTCCACCAAAGCCCACGTAAAGTGGCTTCATAAAGATAGAAGAGAACACCTTGGAAAAATAAAATGGAACTTATACATTTAAAAAAAAAACTCATATAGGCTTCAGAAAAAACCTGGGTCCACTTCTCCAGCTAAGCACAGCCTAAGTTTTCCCTACCCCCGTCTGTCTATTCCTGAGGATGATATTTTTCTCTTCCCTTGGTCTTGGGACTCCTCCCCTTTCTGAAAGTTTGAAATGTAATATTTTTCTCTAAGTTCATAAATTTTCACTTGTTCCTAGTTTAAACTTGTCTCAACAGGTTTCCACTTGGCTGACTGACACATTCAAGCATCAGTTGCTGACTACAACCTGCTCCAAACGACTGTGAACCCTGGACTTGCTGAAAGCTGACATGAATCAGTCCAGCCCATGTAAATGCTCCCTGTCTCTTCAGTGCAGTCAGCAAACCAGATGCTTCTGATAAATGTCCCACTGCCTAAATTCCCTCCTTGCTTTGACTAGCCTTTCAGCCTTCTTGGGCCCTGATAACAATGCCCCAATGTCAGTTCGAAGTAGTTACAGGAAAGAACATGTTGTCCCATCCTCCCTATTTCAAAATAGGTTGAAATGCTGAGACAAAGGGGAACTCCCTGCCATGGGGGACAAAATAGCTATCTATATTGCCCATTGATATACCAAGAAAATAGGCCCAGAGTTGTCAATTAATGGATTTACTAAATAAAATGATTCTACAATGAGATAAGATACTTTGGTTTTTTATGCAGAACCACAGAACAAAAGATGACATTCAGGATTATAATTACAATTTGGTTGTACTTAAACTTCAGAGCTACAGGGCCTGGCAGCAGAGGATGGTCACTGCTCTAGAAAGATCTGTTAGCAAATGGTTCTTAGGTCCCAACACGATCCCCTTAAATTCAAGCAAGACCCATGATTAGGTCCTGTCATGGGTACTTGTGATGGGGGTAATGTAGGACCCAGCCATGACAAGTTCAATAGAGACCTGAGTCTCAGTAGTTTACCCTAAGGCAATACCTGGTTCCAGGAAGACCACTTGAGTCCACCCAGGCACCATCCAGTAACAGACCATACAAAGGAAATTCCTAATGTCCCAACCATTGTAGATAGGCTCACCTGCCAGCACACATCCGTCGCTTTTCACCAGGACACCCCTAGACAAATGTCAGCCAATTAGGGGTCCTGAACTTTAGAAATCCCTCGCCCCAACCTTTACTATTATAAAAACCCCACCCCAACTGAGCTGGAGGCTCTCTGATCGTGCTGATGCATTGGACACATGGAGAGTCCAAGTTCAAACTTGAATAAGAATAAAGGCTCTTTGCTTTTACATACAGGACTTGGTCTCCTAGTTGGGTTTTGGGGGGTTCCGTGATCTGGGCATAGCAATACCACCTGTGACACAGCCAGTGTGACATGCCTCCTAGCTTCAGTCCTCTCTGTCCCCACTTCAGCCTGCCACCCTGGTCCGCTGACTTCTGCTTTTGTTGTGCCCAGCGTGCTCAGATGGACCAAGATTCCTTTTCGCTGTTTGAGGAGCAGTCACGACAGACTGAGGATCTGCCTCCTTCCATCCCCCTGGGCCAGTTCTCAGCATGGCAGATAGATGAACTCAGCGTGAGAACACAGGGAGAGGGGCTGGGAGTCCTGGGCAGAGAGGCAAAGGCATTTGGGGGAAGGTGCAGTGGGGTCGGAGGGGGGCAGTACCTGACATTCTGAGGCCATAGGGTAGACATTTGTCTTTTGTGGGTTTTGTTTGCCTAGAATAAAGCCTGCTCTTTTCTATTGGGGGGGGTCCTCAGTGAATGGACTTTACTGGAAGATGCAGTAAGAGGCAGGCCCCTGCCTCATGTGAAAGAGCCGATGACCCAGTCATCTGTGTTCAGGGCCTTGACCTTCAGTGCTTAGGAATGGAAGCAGATTTGGTTTCAGCTTCCAACCTAGGTGAGCTAAAGATAACTCGAACCATCTTCAATTTTCTCAGGAGCCCCAGAGAGACTGGAGATACCTGCCCATTAAACTCCCTCCATTTTTCAGGCCCGTGATAAGTCCCATCCCCTTGGGACCATGAATGCGCTGCTGCAGGACAGAAACAAAGCAGGTGTATTCTCTTAGCCAGGGTGTCCTCGGCTTTCTTTCTCTTTCTTTTTGTTTTACAGGAAGGCATGGGAGACAAAGGAAAGCAATTAGCTGCCTGTCTCTACTGTCTGGCACTGTGTTCACGTGCCCAAAGTGTTATGAAGGGCTACTTGTAATTGTGGGGATGGGGAATTGGAAAGCAAAACTAAACTGTTAGCAGGTCCAGGAAAGTACTAATTTTTTTTTAAAAGAAAGGGAGTAGCAAGTTATAAAAAACAAGATTCTTAAACTGGAGAGAACTTTAGAAATAGAATGAGTTGGGACCAAGCTGTGGCCCTACTGTGTGACTGGCACACTCTATAGTACTCTTCTTATTTTATGAATCAGTACCTGATGTTTGTCTAGGTATGCAGGGTGCTTCACCACTTACACATCGTGATTCATTTTGAGCCAGTTAAGCCCATGGCTCTCTTCTTTGACAGTGATTGGCTGAGATGAGGGTGTGACCCTATCCTAGCCAATGGGAAGTGAAGAGAAGTTTGTTAGGAATTCTGAAAATATTTCTTTCATTCAGAAGGAGGTGCCAAATGAGTGTGATGATCTATTAGGATGAGAAAGGGTTACTTCCTGTTGAGGATGCCATTGTGGATTACAAAGGAAATGCCAAGACAGCCCAAAGATGATACCCCAGAGCCTTCCCAGGCCAAAGGGTTTTCTTTCTTTCTTTTTTTTTTCCTTTTTTTTTTCTCCTCTGTAGCTTTAGAGCCTGTCCTGGAGCTAGTTCTTGTTGACCAATCTGGCCTCAAACTCACAGAGATCCACCTGCCTCTGCCTCCCGAGTGCTGGGATTAAAGATGTTTGCTAACATCACTCAACTTGTATTATTTTCTTTATATTTTCTTAGTTAATTCTTGAGCTTTAACAGCCCATTCAAAACTGTTCCATCTTGCCAGGTGATGGTGGCACACACCTTTAATCCCAGCATTTAGGAGGCAGAGGCAGGAGGATTTTTGTGAGTCTGAGACCAGCCTGGTCTACAGGACTACACAGAGAAACCCTGTCTTAAAAACCAAACCAATAAACCTGTACTATCTCAGTTTTGCTTTTGCAATCCTAATTGCTTTTCCCTTTTGGGAGGGGGGGACCACAGGTCCCTTTGCTAGCACAGCCCACGTTCCAATCAGATTTGCTGTCCAAGAGCTGTAGAAACAAATGTGTCTAGGAAATGGGTTCCAAGGTTTCTGTCTGACGCGTGATCTTGAGCTGAGCAACCTTGGACTAGTTGTGCCTCCTGTGAGCCAGATTTCCTCCTTCGTCAGGTAGGGGACAGGACTAGATGGTCCCCAAGGACCCTACAGCTCCTCGAGACCCTAAAGTTTATTAAAAGAGAAGGCATTCATAAGATTTATGGGTGGCTATTTTTTAATTATAAAAACAAAACATGTTTGTTGCAAAAATTAGAACAACTCACAAGTCTGCAAAGCCAAATTGCCTGTGTTCCTTCCTTCCTCGTTAATCCCCAGAGACCGTCTTTCGGGGGGGGCCCGTGTCTGCCAAGAGCACTTAGTGCATGTGTGTGATGCTGACCTCAGTGAACCCACCCCCACTCCTACCCCAGTGCACTGGGTAACGAAGGGCTGTGCTGAGAAGAACCTGTGTGAGTTCTTATACACACGGTTCTCTTTACCTTGGAGGACAATCACCAACTTCAGTGTGGTTGAAGGACTGCAGAGTTCTGCTACCTGTGACCTCACTTACATCCTTATCAGAAAACAGAACACAGAAACCCAGCCTTAGTTGGCCAGGCCACCTCTTAAGGGCAGCTGGTGACCAGGGATCCAACCACCTTTTAGCAGCCGCAGTGGGAAGCACAGATTCAGAGATTAGGCACTGATTTCGGCGCTCTGTTCCTTCAGCCAGCGGCAGTGTGGTCTCAGGATGCTCGCTGATGTTAAAATCACCTGGAGCTGGCTTCTGTGGCGGAGAATAGCAGTGAGACGCAGTACACTACCTGTTGTTCTGGGAATGGAGTCCATGAGGAGAGATGGACCAAAGGCCCCCCAACACCCAAGTTGTCAGCCAGCTGCTTTATCCCTTCTATTGTTGCCCATATCTGCCTTCACAAAGGCAAAAGCAAGGTGTGTGTGTGGGGGTGGGGTGGGGTTAATGAGTAGAACTCAGGACGGGCTCAGAGAGGTGCCTGTGAAGGGTGGTTGGTGCTGAGGCATGCGAGGGAGGGAGAGAGCATGGACTATTACTCTCTGTAAGATACCCGGGGAGGGGGGAGGCGGGTGGTGAGGAAGAGGGTGAAAGGCCTGTAGCATCCCAATGGGTGAGATAGAGAAGCCCAGTGGTTAGACCTGACCTGCGGCAGCGAGTAAGGGACTCAGTCTTCAAAGGGACTGGAGAAGCTTATTAGGGTTTAAAGAATCAGAGAGCAAAAAAATAATAAATCATTATTAAAATATTGCTCAATACCACTGTTAACTTGTCCATCCATCCATCCATTCATCCATCCATTCATTTGTTACTAGCAGAAATTTTTTTCCAGTTTTCTTCTTCCTCCTCCTCTAGGCTGGCCTCAAATTCCATATATATATACAAGCATGCACCACCACACCCAGCTTGGGATGCCAGGAACCAAACACAGGGTTTCCTGCATACTAGGCAAGTACTCTACCAACTGAGCCACATCCCCAGCCCTGCCTCTTATCTTGAGCAGAGATTTTAGCTGAGAGACACAGTCAGTTTAAGATGACAATGCCTGTCTGTTTAGCAAAGCAAAGTAAAAACAGCAAAGCAAAGGACCATATGGGGGGAAGGGTGGAGGTTGTTGACCCTAAAAGCCCATGGGTTGGCAGCCCACTGGGTTCTGCATTGTGGATTTCCAAGGCATTTTATGAATATGTATGAAATGAGTGACGCATTTACAAGGCATCATGACCTGGTTCACCTTCCAAATCAGGGTAGACCAGATCTCC